TCACAGCAAATTTGGACGCTGGCATACAGATTTGCACACCACAAAATTCATTCTGAACTTTAAAACTTGTATATATACAATGGTTAAGATAAACTGCTATATCTCATCAAACATTTTTTTTTGTGAATTAATTTTTGCTTTTCAAGCATTTCGATATGTGTTAAATAACTTATTTGTCTTTTGAAATTTATGACTCCTATAACACATTTTCTTCAAATTTACGTCTGTTTTTTAAGGTACACGAAGATCTTGATGAAGGATATAGACGTTGTTAATGGGGCGGGTAAATTAGAAAAGGTTGGCGCTTTTTCGAATAAACTTGTCTTTTATCGTTATTGCAATCTGCCATAATCCATCCCTCGAACTTTCTCAAGAGTTTTCAAAAGATGTATGTTACAGGCACGAATAATGAATATATTGATGCACTTGCGAAAATGCTGCAATCACCCGTATTTATTTGATGGCGCTGAACCTGGTCCACCGTACACAACCGATCAGCACCTTGTTGATAATTCTGGCAAAATGGTTCTTCTTGATAAGCTACTCGCAAAGCTTAAAACACAAGGTTTGTTTGTCATTAAATAACGCTAAAAATTAGTTGGTTTGGTATTTTTTACGAAATGCTAGCTGAACAATATGGAGTTTTTCAGCAGTGGTTTTCTTTTTCTCACCCGGCTTTCCTGAACTGAGTCCTTTGTTGTACTGCATCCCAAGCCGACTCTGAACTGAGTTCTTTTTACATAAACTACGGAAGCTCTACCTTTTTTGTTAAAAGATCTCAGAACCTAGTATATCAGAAAAATGAGATTGCTATTGATAAAACTGGCTAGAATCAATTTACTGGTGCCAGCAATGCAGTGCCTTCTGAAATTCACATTGTTCAGGATCTCGTGTTCTGATATTTTCGTCAATGTCGCGGATGTTGGACTTGCTGGAAGATTACTGCTGGTGGCGCAATTATCGTTACTGTCGACTGGATGGGCAAACGGTTCACGAGGAGCGTCAAAGATCAATCGACGAATTTAATAAGCCGAACTCCGACAAATTTATTTTTATGCTCACCACACGCGCTGGTGGCCTGGGCATCAATCTTACTGCTGCTGATGTTGTTATTATCTATGACAGCGACTGGAACCCGCAAGTCGATTTGCAGGCGATGGTTTGTTTTGCTTGTATTCGTTTTTGTGGAGTACATGTGAAGTGATTCTCTTCTTGTAAGCAAAGAATTTTTGCGAGTGCCGAAACGAATTATTGGTTTGTATACGTGCGCCACCTACATACTTCAATGTATTTTTTACCAGTAATGACGTATGAAATTTATCTGAAAGTGCAAATTTTTTGGTTTCAACGAAGAGAATGATGGAATAATGAGCGCTTGGGTATTCCCCTAGTCGTGTAGAAGCAGGATGTGTGGTGCCGTTGTGATTATGAGAAAAGTAAGTGGTGAGCCCCGAATATTATCCTCTGTGGTGGCAGCAAATGAACGGAATTTGTCAATGACCTCTTGGACAACCTTGAAGCAAACTATTTGCTTAAGTATGATACCTGGCGTAGCTAACTTTGGCATTTGAGTACCTCTCAACAGCAGCAGCGGAATTTCGCCACTGATAGCACTCACTATTTTGGTTATTTCTTTGAGTAGTTCCATATACGCTCCAAAAAAAAGGTATTTTTTCAGGAAGAACATCATTTGGCATGAAGTATGCTTGATGTGTTTTAAATTTCTTAAATTTCATGACGGAACGAATGTTCATTTTCTCGGTAAATTGGTGTTATTGAGTGAAACGCAACGGAATATGTTTGTAACTACAATCTTTAGGATCGGGCTCACCGCATTGGCCAGAAGAAGCAAGTTCGTGTTTTCCGATTTATAACCGACAACACTGTGGATGAAAGGATAATCGAACGTGCGGAAATGAAACTTCATCTTGATTCTATCGTTATACAGCAGGTACTGATCGGAGAGACTGAACACAGAGCGAGTTTCATCCGAATCGATATTTTTCCCTACCGTTATTGTGAATCATTCCAAAGCAATTTTATTATTTGTGTGCTGATGTTCGCGGTTCTGTTGTATTTCAGGGGCGATTGACTGACGCACAGAAAGCTTTGGGTAAGGAAGACATGTTGGATATGATTA